CTGTTGGCAAGAGTTATCCTGCGTTGGATTTCTAGGCTGACATTGTTGGTGGTGTTTACGCTGGTTCCAAGATAGACGAAATTATCTACAACTTCCGGTCTTAGACCAAATATTATCTGGGTAGCCAAAAATATACGTTTTAAGATGAGCTAAAGTGAGAATGCGAAACATCTCCCAAGGTTATGCCCTTGGTGTGAGTCTCGCCACGTAAAAAACTTTACCAATGAAAAGGATTTTTTTTTTATCGGTTTCAGCACTCCACTTCCCTGCAGGGTATGCTCGAATAAGTTAATAAATAAGAGGTAAAAAAACACAGCCCTGCGTGGGCGCGTACAACCAACGCACTTTGATGCCGTGAGGCAACAGGAGGCACCATGAAATATTGTGGCGCAACAGCGAAGATAAATGAGGCAGCAATTCGGTTTCATTGCGTGCAAGAAATAAAAAAGTTGTATTAAATCGGAGTCGAATTGCTTCAGTAATTTCAGAAAGTGGGAGTAAAAGGTATTAAATTTCACGCATATAATTTAAATAAAATAGATTAATGGTTAATTTTTATTTTTTTTTTTTTAATTATTAACATGTAAGTTCGCGGAATGAGCTCACGAACACAGTTTTCAATGAAAAATTGATAGCTGTCAACAATTGCTGTCAATTTTATTGGAGACTTTTGATTCGTACATAAAGCTGATGCTCGGAAAGGTGTGGTTTTAAAGAAAAAAAAAACAACCGCCAATACAACTTAGAACATGTAGAATATATATTTCTGTTAACAATTAAATGCAAATATATCTATTTTTGTAAAAATAACTCGAAAACCAAAGTATATCAATAACATGTTGTGTCATTGAGTACTTTCCTCTTTCTTCTTGGACTCCCTCCAATAAAATAATTAATCCATGGCGAGCACCACGCAACCAGACAACGGCCACGGCAACTCCGGCATATCCTTGAAGCTTCTGCGCGTTTTCATGCAAAACGTTTCCACCTTAGTCAGCGTGCACTTCTTCATGGTCGAGACGCCGCCAACAATAACAATTCGGTCATTAAGTGCGGCAATATCATGGCCATGTCTAAAGTTAAGGAAATGCGGATAGTAATGAATGAAGTGACTGTTGCATAATAAAAAAGACTTAAGTACAAAAGTTAGTAAGTGTTTCGTAAAAACGCAAGTAAAAACGAAGTAAAAGTCTGCTTTTATAACTAATTGTTTTTTAATGACCAACTTACGCTGCTCACAGCTTATAACCGCGGTTACTATGTACTATTAAAGCCGCTCATTAGTTATATTTTACGTACCTGGCCCATTTAATATCGCCATAATGATGCCAATGACCTTCGCCAAAGTCGTAATGGTCAACGGAGGATAACGATGTGAGTATATTATTAGAATCAAATCCTATGCCACCAACAAGGTACAGTTCGTTGTCCGAAGGTCTGCAGAATTTGCCAAATAATCTAAAATAATTCAAAAAATATTCAGAAAGGAGTTATCAATAGACTTTGAAGTCAAAAATTTGAACTAGGGTCATTGCGTTTTTATCTGCGGTCTTCTTATATCAGTTTCTTATCAATACATTGGCGCTTATACCTACGCTCGACATTCGAACGATCTTCTTTCTTTATTGGGAATGGGAAAAATTTTCAAAAATGTTTAGTTGTTTCCCTTGGATAAGAATACATTTCAATTTTCTTCGGGAGCCAATTGGTTCTCTCTATCGCGACTGTATTGAGAAGAATGGGTACATAACTTGATTTCGGAATAATAAGCGGAAGTATTCAACTCTTCGACTTCCTTTTGAACAAGTTTTAGATCGCTTCAAAAGATTTTAAAATATTATTGGAGGTCTAAATATTTTATTTGTACGTAAATTTCATTGCTTTCGGATAATTAGTTCTTGAGATAACATCTGATCAAATTTGACCCGGACTGACAACATATTCACGTATTTAAAACAAATGTTTATTATTAATTTAGGAAATTTTGTTTGTTTTCTTTAGTTTCTGTTAATTTTTGGAGCCCCATTTGCTTGATTTTTAGTTTAGACGTCATATTCATAAACCCACGTTACCATGACCAATTTAAGAAAAAACAAGGAAGAATGAGTTAAGTTCCGATATAACCGAACATTTTTTAATGTTGCAACTGGCAAGGATTGAGGCCAGGGAAGTACTTCCAGGCACATAAGGCTTGTTAGTTACATGGAGTCTAGGGCGAATTTTACTCTCTGAATTTTATTAAGATAACTCACATATTGGCCGATAATAGCGCATATATCGCCAACCGGAAGTTCGAAAACCTTTATATTAGGTATATAGAGGCTAAGGGTAGAATAGATGCGATTCAATCCACAAACATACTTCTATCAGGAAAAAATGTTCACAGATTTTTTCAGTAAAAAGCCAATTAAAAGCACTGGGTCTACATATTCAGTACCTAGGGGCTTGAACAGTACTTTTGATATTTTAATTGCTTCCCGATTTGCATATTGAAAGGTGAAAGAATCAAATGGAATTTAGAATTGTGTTATATGGGAAGCAGGCGTGGTCATAACCCAATTTCCGTCATCTTCACACTGTAACATAGGAATGTCAGAGGAATGCTATATGCTGAATTCAGTTGAAATCTGTCGAGCAGAACTCGAAATATGTGATTTCTCCTAAAAGTTGGCAGTGTCACGTTCATCGTCCAAGTTTGACCACGCCTCCTCTAGAGCCTTCTCATGGCTTGTACTAGTTGTAGTTTCGTAAGCCTCTTAGATTGATAATGAACTGTTAGTCTAAAGACACCCAGGGCTGTGTTGAGCATATCTTTCATGAATATTTAGATGTGAGTTACATTTCTTGTCGAATCCTTTTCTTGCTTCAACTATCCTACTCTGTATAACTTGTTGTCTTCAATCTTTAAACAATCTAATATGATGGAAATGTTGCGAAGATCAACAATTCCTGCTCTGAACAAATGTTTGCAATGAATGCGTTCCGTTCTATGACTCCCACCAACCTCACATCAAAGTTAATCTAGCGCAAATGCCACTCAATATTCGCAGAAATCTACAAGAGTATTTTGTCGTAAAATCGAAATTTAAGCCGCTTACCGGGGTATTCGCAAACGCTGCTTCGCTTTAATCCAACGTCCACTCTCCAAGCTTCTACCCATCCGTCCAATAGTGGGTTGAGCACTAGCAACATCGACAGCATCACCATTCACATCATTGACTTTAGCCATTGGCACATCCGAAACGTATTCGTCGCTGTAAGCACACTTCAAACTGTAATACTCCATCGTATCGGTGATTACATCCACGACTGCACTTTTTGTTGCCTCGACAGCAAAACTGTCACCACTACCATTGTCATCTCTGGCAACGCCATCATCAGCGGCACCATCCATCGCAGCACCCCTGCCACCTTGAGTATTACCATCGACGGTCGGCATTGAAGTAGCGACGAAGCCATCATAGTTGTCGGATGCTCTCGTTTTGGTTTCGATTATGCCGCCAGCTATCCAAATCTCGTTATTCACCATAGCAGCCATCAAGCCGTAGCGACCCACATGCAAAGGGGCTTTCTAAAATCCATAAATGACAGGCAATGTAGTTAAACAGTCATAAAGCAGTGTACATATGTGTTTGTTTGTGTAGGTGTATGTTTTGTGAGAGGAAGAGCGGGCCGGATATGAGCAACCACTTGCGAATTTGTGGAGATTAAGAGTCCCTATGTATTATAGTTGTATTTTAATTAAATTATTGAGGTTATTTGTCATGACAATTGATGCGTACATAAATGCGAAAATAAATTGATTTTTTTTAATATTTAGTTAATATTTTTTTTTAATTTCTGTATTGTGAAGAAAAATAGAGGTATAATTGCGTCATGCCACAACATAGGCAGAACGAACTGTCAAAATTCTGTAGCATAAGTAAATAGAGCTTTCACTATGTGGCTTATGATGTCACTAAATATCGAATTTTTCTGTGGAACCCGAAGCAAAATAGTAACAGAAAGTATTTATTTCCTTATTCGTCCAAAAAATGGACCTCGTTAAATTATTTACCTTCTTCCATGTTTTGCGCAGAACATTGTAATACCACACTGTGCGCAAAGCCGTGCCATTCACTCCTTCGCCGCCAATCACGAAGAAACCGTTAACTGCTTTGACATTCCTTTGATTGTGCTGTTCTCTTATGCCCTTGCAATGCTCGCACGCCACCTCGCCACCACAATACTCATCAGACACAATCGCCGCAAAGTCGCGTCGCAACTCTGGTAAATTACTCTCGAATGTCCACTTCAGAGTCAACGGATCGAAGCTCCAGACTGATTTTTCGAATATCTATAAAATTATAAAGATTTTTAATTCGTCAATGTCTATATATGTATGTCCACTATACATATGTATGTATGATGTAGAAATTCCAAGCCTTTAAGAACCTTTATCATGGGCGAACTCTAAGATCATTCGATAAACATACAGGGTTTTGTCCGGAATGTAATAGGACTGAGTCGATTACAAAAATTTATTGAACCAATTGTAACAATTCTTAAAAACTTTCAAAATAGGCTCCTTCTGCGTCGATACAGAGGTGCCAACGCGATTTCCAAGCATTCTCCGGAATAACCTTGAGAGCCGAGACGCATACTGTTTGGATCCCCTCTGTCGTCTCAAAATGCGTGCCTTTCATCGACCATTTTAGACAAGGAAACAATAATAGTCCGGGCCCACATTTGGGCTGTAGGGCGGCTGTGGAAGCGTTGGGATGCCGACCTTGGATAGGAAGCTGTTCACAAAAAAAGCGGTGTGAGCCGGAGCGTTGTCGTGATGCAATTTCCAATCGACTGCGTTGTCCTGTCGAACCCGATTTACTCTTCGATTGAGTCTCTTGAGGACTTTCACGAATTAACGTTGGACGATGCCTTTGATGTTAGAAAAGACAATTAGCATTGTTTTCACTTTGGATATGGTCCATTTTTGGGCGAGGCCATCGAAACTTCTTACTTCCTACTAAAGCAACATCTGGGTAAGCCTATTTGATCATATCAAACGTCTATGTGGCAGATTTACCGAGTTTCATACAGAATTTAATCACGAACGCTGCACTTATTTATTATTGCTTGGACCACTTACAGAAACACGTCGCGAGGAAATGTTTGCTCTGACTCTCCAGGTGCTCGGAGACAACTGACCAGCCATTCGTTCGTTAGCTAGTAACGCCCTCTAAAGAATCCAGTCGGTGCGCGCACGAACCGAAGTACGATCGCGGCGAACAAACCCTGTAGAAAGTGTTTTCGACCAACTCTGAATTTTGTTATTTGTTCTTTGTTTTCATAAATAATCAAATGTGGTATACTTTAAAGACGGAAGTTATCAGAAAAATCGAAAGCGGGTTCCGCCTATCGTTAAGTCCATATTTTTTTGAAAGCTAACGGAACATTGAATTAAGGAGTATCAGATACGGACACTTTATACACCGCAAACCCACTTCTCAATTCCCACAAATTCCACCGAGATATAAAAATATTCATATAGAATGTTCGCAACTCACCGACTTCTTAGTGCAACCTAGCGCCGTCTTAGTGCCACCTATAATATAGATGAGTCCGTTGCAAACAACAGCTGCGTGATGATGACGTGAACCGAAGGGCAGATAACACAAATGTTTCCACTGCAAAGCGCCAGCATCGTAGTACAACACACGATCGCCAAAATTATCCAGCTGATTGAGCTGCGGATTAAGACCGCCGCAAGCGCTGCAACCGCCCATGCCATTATGGTAATGTAACGGGTCCAAAATATCAGCATCGCTGCCACCCAACGCCTGTATTCGCTTGCGTTGCTGTTGTTGCAACGCCATAACTTTATCATGCTGACAATGCTGACAGTACGGATCAATGCCACCAAATATGAGAAGCTTGCGACCCTTGATGCTTTAAAATAGTAAAATAATATGGCTGTGTAAAACATCAATACTTCGGAACTTCATGGAACTTACGCTTTAAACTCCACTTCCTCGACTGTGGGTAAACCAAACTGTGGTGCTTGCACTATTTGTGTCATATGTTGCTGCCGCTCCTGCTGCCTCATAGGCGACTCGTTGCGACATTCTAGCCGTGGCAGAACTGTCGTCTTCAAGTCACCGCCATTGTTGCAAAGCCTTTGTGAACGCATCGTATGCAAACACGTCGGCTGTGCCATTGTCTTAGGGCCGTCGATAGTGCCATCGGCGATGGTACTGACGCCACGTTGCATGCAACCATCCTCAATACAATGATGAACTTCAATGTTTTGTTCGCAGTCATCATTCAATGTGTGGTGGACGTCATATTTCATCTCATGCAACTCACTCGGAATTGCTTTGTCCTCGTTGGTGTTGTTGTTTGCATTGCTGCATTGATAACTGTACTTAAATGGCTGTGGATCTAGTTCTTGAAATTGTGCATAGCGTTGCGGATATCGATGGCGTTTATGGTGCTGTTGTTCCTGTTGCAGTCTGTAGGGAAACTCATAACAGCTAGACGCGGTGGAGGGCAGCACTTGACTTGTTGTTATTTTGCTGAGGTTTTTCAGACTTGCCGAATTCACCATAGCGGTCATGTGATCGCCAAAACAACGTTGATCTGAAAGGTGTAGAAATATATATGTAGATGAATAGCGGATCTTTGCTGGAAGCTTGCTTTGCTGAGTTTATTCCCATATTTGATAAGTATGTAGCTCAAGTACCTCTGTTGTTCGATAAAAGGAGAGTCGTTCAAGTTCTAAGGAGCTCTAAATTCACGCTAGATTTTATGAAAGTCTTTATCATATAAAAAGTAGACTGTAATTCTGTTATTAGAGTAAGAAGTATATATTTCTTGTTGTTCAATCATTGCTAAAAAATATCGACGGATCTTTGAGATTGATTTTACTCAGTAATCCCGAACTAAATAATTTTAGTTAAATAGATCCACTATCCTGCTTAATCATAGCATTAACTACATAATTGCCATAGTTTCGAGTTTTACAAACCTATATAGTAAGTTTTCCTCCATCACAAATTCTATTTACTATAACTATCCTCGCAAAACTAATACGGCTGTGTAAACTGACGTTGAGCAACAACAAAAGCTCCGTCAGAATTGTCAAAGAACTCTCCAAGCCGTTCGATACCAAACAAGGATGCAGACTCCCTCTTGTGCGACTTATTCAATCTACTCCTGAAGAAAATAACTCGAGCTGCAGAGCTTAATAGAGAAGGAACAATCTTCTATAAGAGTGTAGAAGCTACTCGCATATGCCGATGATATTGATATCATTGTTAGTACTTCTTTCTGCAGACTGGATAAGGAAGCGAGGCAAAATGGTCTGGTAGAAGCGAAATATCTCCTGTCATCAAACAAACAGTCGTCGCACTCGTGACTTTGCTCCCACGTTACTGTTGAGAGTCATAACTTCGAGGTTGTAGATAAAATTGTAACCAACCAGGTGCTACCTCGGACAGTAAGTCTTCTCTCGAATTTGTAAAAGAATGGTTTTGCGGAAGATTTATGGTCCTTTGCGAATTGGCAACGGCCGTAGTCGATGAAACAAGGAGCTGTACGAGATATACGATGCCATTGACATAGTTCAACAAATTAAATTAGGGAAGATTACATGGGAGAGTTGCTGGAACACATTCTAGGCTTCTGACCGGCATTATCTAGAACTCGGCCTAACCTAGATAGGTTCTGCGCTGTTCAAAGGCATGGCGTGACAACCAGCTAACCTAAATCAATTATATATGTATGTAAATGCGTTCTAAAAACGAATGACTATCAGCTGTGACTTGTGAATTTTGTCTCCGCACCACCGTAAACCTTATTTTAGACAGAATCAGCTCCCTGTGGTTTCAAACCACCTCAGAGTAGATTTGCTTGAAGAAAATCAAACTAGAATGAGTATAACAACTTTGACAAAGTATTTTTTGAGACAAAGTGAGCTTTACGTGTATTTTGGGAAAATTACGGGTGATTCAAGTAGAGGTACTCAACTTATGTTCAACATATACGGCCTACCGGCCTCACAAATTCATTATTAGATAATTTTCCACCAAATAGACCACATTCCACCAAATAGACCACATCCAGCACGCAGTGAAGAAAATATAGTAGCCGTAGCCCAGAATGTACATGAAGACCGTGGAGAGTCGATTCGGCGCCGTTCACAGCAACTCGTACGGAAGTATGGAAGAACTTGGGGCATTTCACGTCGAGATGCCCAATAGAAAGCGTATAAAATATGCAAGAGCTGAATCCGCTCGACCTTCCCAAGCGACACCGCTGGCTCTATGGGCGCTTGGACAGTTCTAAGGAGATCGAAAGTTTTCGAGTAAATTTTTGGTCTGCGATGAGGCACGTTTCTGGCTCAATGTGTAGGTAAACAAATAAACTCACCGCATTTGGGACTAAAATCAACCTAAAGAGATTTAAGAGCCACCATATCATCCAGAAAAAAAAAACTTTTTGTTGTTGTTTGTGGGACGGTGGAACCATAAATCCATATTACTTCAAAAATGACGCCGATGTGAACATAACCGCCAATGGCAACCATTATCGCGCCAACATATCCGACTATTTGATACCTAAAATTGAAGTTCGTGATCTCGGCGAGATTTCGTTTCAACAAGACGGCGCCTTACACCTCGCATCAATCAATGGATTCATGAGATGAACACTTCAGTGAGCAGATAATTTCACATTTTAGGCCGGTATATTGGCCACTAAGATCGTGTTAGTCTTTTTCCTGTAAATCCTTAAGTCTATACTGACAATCCCGCTTAGATTCAGACTATAGAGCAAAACAGCATGCGCGTCATTCACCAGTGACCAGTCGAAATGCTCCAACGAGTCATCGAAAATTGGACTCAACGGATGGACGCAGCCGCGGCCAACATTTGAAAGAAATCATCTTCAAAAAATAAATGCCATAGAATGTGCTTTCAAATGATAATAAACATTCATCATTAAATTTGATGTGTCTATGTTTTTTCTTTAAAAGACTACGGTATTTACCTCGAAGAACCGGTTTGCGTTGCCTTAAACTGGTCTCAACTTGTACGCCCTGATCGCGACATTGCATTGTGAAAACGGTGGCCTGGAATGCAGACAAAAGAAAAAGAAAAGCAAATGAAATCTCCGTCTCAATTTTAATCATCAGTAGTATTTATTAAATTTTTCATTGATTTAATTATATATAAAGTGAGTCACAATAATTTTCGTATAAATGCCAAATCACAAATTTCAACAAAAATTTTCATAAATCAAATCTTCTAACAATATGTACTTGCAGTCTGTATATATTTAGTTCGTAAACGCTTAAGTAGTCTTCTAAAATAGGTGATTTGGTGTTGTTGGTAAGTGACTAGAAAATATATTAACATACTAAATTTTGCTCGTTCAATTTGCGGCAATCGGAGCGCACGCAACACTGCATCGACTTCTCCACACCCTTAGCCATTTCCAGCGAGCGCCAATAATCCTTGCCAATCGTATGAATCATCTCCAGATACTCCAGAAACGATTTGTATGTCACATACTGCATATTCGGGCATTCGAGCCGATGATGGTAGCTGCATTCTTTGTCGAAAACCCACTGACGTTGAACCGGTGCAATGAGCTGGTAGCGTTCTAGGAAATGCAAGAACTCTTCACGATTTTCACCGTAGTATAATTGAGTGGTCGTATAGCTAAAAAGAATGGCAGAGCATAAAACAATTGTATGGAGTTTAGGAATGCCTGAGGCTTGCGCACTTACGATATGCCGTCGTTGATCATGCGTTTCACCTCCGGATGACTGGCAATACGATCGATCTCAACGCAGTCAATATTTTTGTTAAGTGTCACCAAGAACCATGGTGGCATCAAGCTGAAACGTACGCACTTGACAACTTGCAACATATCCGCCTCGCGTTCATCCCAATTGTAGTTCAGCCAACGCACCACCGACATGAAGATCTTGAATTAAAGAAAATGCAGATATTAGGGATTTGGTTCACGGAAACAAACAACAGTTATATCTAGTTATGATTAGGAAGTTTTTCCGGGGCAAGTTATGAAAGTTCAACTAATTTGGTGCCCTTGGACCAATCTGCAACCAATCTATCGATCATTCGAATACAGCTTAAGATTCATAGAATCCTCCGGTTACCAGTAATATGTGCCGTCTGGAACCCTAGCCAATCTAATTAATTGTAAAAATAGTCACATGGTATTCTGAGAAATAGCATGAAGCATATTTGTTCCCAATAAAATAAAATAAATTAAAAGCTCTTATAACTCGAAACCGCCATACAACACGAACTTAATAGTTCAAATATAACCCGATTAAATAGAAGACTGTCGATAGTTGTATAGTTATTGTACTCAGTTCTATTCGAATATTTACTCGACATTCACATATGGTCTTTCTCGACTATCACTGGGTAAAAATTCTTGTCTTAATTTGGATCTCAACTTGAAAAACTTACAAAGCAGACGGATATCCTAAAAAAACTATTCTAACAAATCCATTCGACATTGGGTTATTCGACCAAGTGAAATATAATACAAATCCCTAATCTAAAAATCTATATAAGACACATCTTCGGACTCACCTCGATTTCCGAATTCACGCCAATTGTATTGGAACTCAACAGCGTGCAAATCTCCTTCGTCGTTAGCTCCAAGTACTCTTTAGAGGCGACAAGTGTCAGGAAAAATTTGCAAATGCGTGTCAGCATTAGCTGCTCCAAACTCTCCAGACCATAATTGCGTGCCTCAAGATAGAGTAAGAATGCAGTATCTTCCCGAAAGCGCACATCATCGTCCAAGCAGAGCCAACATTGATTAACCAGATTTTTAATGCGCAGAAAATTGGCCGCATTAAATAATTCCAGTATGCCTTCACGCTGCACCAACGGCTCCTCAGCCAACATCCAATCGTAGACCATCATAAAAGCACCGGGTGTTATCTTCTCTTCGGGCAATTGGATCAACACCTCATTGTTGCATTCCATAAAGAAGTCGGAGTAACATTGCAGCACCATCATGTGACAGTTGAAGGTCACACCACCGATACGTATCTGCACATTCGGTTTGATGTGGTTGTCAATCATGTTACGTAGCAATTTGTAGAGATTCTCTTTGGGCGGCTGGACTATGTCTTCCCAACCCTGTATCTCATTTGTTTTGAAACCCATTTCGAGTAGAGATTTTTCTTTGAGTGTGCAGACTATTTTCGGTTTTTGACTATCAAATTTGCCCGGTAATGGAATATTGGACGGTAGTATCTTACTGGGTGGTGGTTTTGCAGCCTTAGACGCGGCACCATCGAAGGTTTCTATAAAATAGAGAAGAATGCAGCTGAAATGCAGAGTTTATTAGATGATAACTTACGTGGCAACTTTTGAAAGTCAATGCCTTGGTCCTTAGCTTGACTTGAAGACTCGGAATTGTCGACGAAATTTAAGCTGTAAGTAGAGTGTAACGGAAATATTAAGCTCCTTTGAACTGGAATTAGTTCGTTTCAGCAGCTACTCACTTCATGTACTTGACATTATTCTCTAATGTGTCGGAAAATTGTGGTGAACCCGTGGTACCGGTGGTGGAAATGCTCGACTCATTACTCTGAAATGCGTAACTAGTTGTAGTCTAGTTGTCCTTTCAACGATCGGCAAATGTCATTATAGGATTTTACCTGAATTACCTTATTCAGGGGCTTATCCATTTGAAAAGGTTTGTACAGCTAAGAATTGAATTAAAAATAGCTCTAACTGGTAAAAATGTTGTTCAATTTGGACAGCAAAATCAAATAAAATATATTTTATATGAATTAACTGAAAATAAAAAAATCGACGAAATTTCTTGGCAGCAAAGTTTCTTTTAAAAAATTTTCCCAATATGAAATGACATACACGATTGAGTAAGTAACGACAAGAAAAAAGGTATATTTTCATAAAACGATATTTTTATTATTTTTTTTTCCGAGGTTAAATCAAACTCTACTAAACCGAAGATCTTATAGTGATCCTAGAAGTGAATTATAGTATTTATAAGAGTCTCTTTGCATACATATATAAGATCAGTGCAATTGATCATACTTTGGAGCATATCAGTTGGACCTACCTAATATGGATGCAGCCTCCGTAGAGTGGACAGTGAACTCTGATATGGAACGAGTTATGTATATTCTCTCCATTTGCAAACTCTCCAGAACTGAAAGATCAAACTTATTATTTAGACGATCGAAAAGAATTACAACTTCTCCAAACTCACACATCCCGTCGCGCTTACGTGGGATCCCATACTAGGTGTACCCCGTGATAGTTCTTAGAGTTAGAAGGTCTTCGAGTTATGGAAGGAAATTTGTATGAAATTTGAGTAATATTGCCAATTCAAGTGTTCGAGTTTTGGCGAACTTTGAGTCAACTGTAGATGTTTTTTGACATTTTTCTTTTTCCTAATGCCAAATCTTTTCTTTCTTAATTTTTATAATTTTTGGCATATTAATGTCATTTACAACAAATACTTAATTTTTAATAAAGTTTATTTAAAAATTATATTTCTGGCATGTCTTTAAAGTACATAAGCATAAACATCAAAATATATGGCAACGCTGTAATTGACTATTTACATTCTGGACATAAACAATAAAATTGCATTTGGACCAGCTGGAAATGTTCGAGTTTGTAAAACATCTTTTTAAACTACAATTCCTACTTATAGTGATCGCCATTTTTACCGGTGTTTATTACAATGAAATTATAAATTGGGCTGTGCATAAATATGCGGATCCAACAAGTGAAAGTATAGCGATTAAATTCCAAAGTCCCGAAGATGCAACGTTAAGTGAGCGGCTTTTCACGCGTGATGATTTGGCACAATTCAATGGCGAAAATGACGCACCACTATATCTGGCCATAATTGGTACGGTATTCGACGTGACAAAAGGTGCAAAGCATTATGGGCCAGGATGTGCATATAATTTTTTCGTGGGACGCGATGCTTCTGTGTCATTTATAAATGGTCAATTCGAAAAGTTTGACGAAGATGAGGCCGATGACGTCGTCTCGCTAAGACCCAGTGATCTTATTAGTCTAGAAAATTGGCAACAATTTTACAAGAGAGAATATGTATACAAAGGTAAACTAATAGGACGCTTTTATGATAAAAACGGTGAACCAACGGCATACAATCACAAATACATGATGCTTTTGGAGCAAGCGAAAACTGCCAAAGCGCAAGCCGAACAATTGCGCGAAGTGTATCCAGATTGCAATATTGAGTGGTCAGTAGAGCGGGGGTCACATGTTTGGTGCACCACAACCAGTGGTGGAAAACAGCGTGATTGGGTGGGCTATCCACGACAATTGTTCGAAATTGGTGCTAATAACTTCCGCTGTGCTTGTGTGCAAGACAAGGACTTGGACACAACTGAGGTGATGCTCAAGGAGTATGAGAATTGCGCGCCACATGCACACGAGTGTTACTACAAGGTTGATTAGCAAAATTAAACGTACATGTGTGTGTGTGTGCTTCTAGAATTTTTTTAAAATGTTATACAAAGCAATTTATAGCAAAGTGTTTTTATAAATTTTAGTGAAAAATCAAAATTTTTATAAATTTTAGTGAAAAATTAACAAGTATTTAGCCTGTTAAACTTTATACTAAAGCATTTTATGTACTTAGTCATTTTACAAAACAAAAAAGTATTTGCACTTAACATATCCAGCAATAAGATAGAGGCCTTAGTGTTCAATTTTTGTACAACATAATAAATAAAAAACATATTTACCCCAGATATTGGATATTTTATTTTCATAAAGTTCTTTTATAGTCAAAAAATCATAAATGAGCACCAGTTACAATAAAATATTATTACTTGTATAATATTAATTCTTGATTTGCGTTGATGAAAATACTTTGGTTTATTTTTATTTGAAATCATAATAGTATACATAAACAGGGGATATTGACAGCAATTTTAAATTTTTGGACCAACATAATTAAATAAGAGTGTTCACTAATATCTTGATAAAATCATAATATAAGAAATATTTTTTTTTATTTTTATGAAAGTGCAAAATGTATGTACTTTTTCAGT